GTCATCAGTCACACTCATAATCAGCCTCTCATTTATGTCACATAATCAAATGTTCACTTTGTCTGGTTTTGTTGCAGTCTGGACTCAGGAACTTGATATATTATTTGCTTTCAAAAGCAGGCATTTCAAAATCCAGGGATTCAATAAGTACCACCTTGTAGGCACAATGTTTGTGCCCTTCAGCCTTTATGTTGAAGGATCTTCTCATTCAGCTCATTTGTCAACGGGTTTTAATATAATGACAACGACGATGCAGTGGTGACTAATTGCACCCGTCACCCGTGAGATGCACTGTTGGGTTAGGTGGGGCGAGATCGTAGGAAAGCGAGTACTGCTGAGCTGCAGAGATGGTTTCGTAATCGATCATGACATCATCAGTGTATAATAAACGGGTGGCTTCGTTTTCGCGACTTCTTCCTCACGCGCGCTTCCTTGTGAAACCATGGCAACCTCCAATGTTATTGAGGAGCAAAGATCGATGAGTCCTTCTTCTCAACGCCATGGAGTGCATGGCACCTTGCAACGTTTCTCCGGCTCAAGAAGAGCTGTTGCCCTCAGTCATTTGTAAGTCTCTAGTCATTTGCAAAAAAAGACATTTTGAGAAAAACGGTATCAGATAATCTATGTTCGTGTAACGCATTCTTTACATGTGTGGACTTACGACTTGGGTTTAAATACTCACAAAATTACGATTGGTGTTCAGTTTTTGTAAAATTAGCATTTAATAGACAGGCACAGCACTAAATACAAGTGCTGTTCGGCCCTTGGTGAATTATCAACGAAGAAAACCTTATCTAACATTCATGGAATAAAATTAAATTACGAACATTCTCTGCTGATACTCTTTTGGGTTGAGCACAAACCACGTCGACATTAATCGATAATTATTCGATATACGATGACAACGACAGCACATTCACTATGTAAAATGTCAATAGAATGTAATTTTCTCATCCTCTTCTTGGATATAAAGAAAGAGGGACTCTTATATAGATGGCATTGTGGCGCTTGATAATTCCAACCCCCAAAACCATTTGTGGCGTTATCTTTGATGTTCCCTTTATCTTCATCTTTGAGCATACCCCCGCACAAGAGATAACCACTAGATTATGTCACATCATAATCGGTGAAACAATATCACTCGTGTGTTTTCTGGGCGCAATAATTTTCTCCCATTCACTGCAGTAGAGCGGAAATATTTGCATATAAAATCCCTATCACCGCGAGCTCCCATTAATTGAGTAGCACAATTTGCAAACACAAATTATTCGGTGCTATTCTTTGATTTTAACTACTCGTCGCTGCATCTTTTCAACTATCCCCAACTCTTTCCATTCCTCTTATTGTATTCTTACCCTCCTTTATATTTTGAACACATTTATTTACCTTTCCTCTTTTGCTGGCCAAAATAAATCACAATGGCTGGACTTTCCGCCCTATTCATTAAGATATTTACCTTTAGAAGAAAACGAAAACGTAGACATAGTCTCCAAACTCGTAATGCCCCCAAACGTAATGTTCTTAGTCGTAGTCGAAGCGTTCACACTAATCCACTAAGCGACAATACTAACCAAGACTACAAAGACAGAGCCTCTGGCGTCTCTGAAGTCAGCATTGAATTAGTGCGTCTCGACACGCTTCCCATTACTTCTCCAATAACCCAACCCAGCACGCAACGCGACACCCAATTCTCCCAAAACTCTGACGACTATTCGTACGCAAAACTACCCCCAATCTCTGTTGAGCAGCCTAGCTTTTCACCGTCACAAGAAGAATCACAAGAAGAATCACAAGAAGAATCACAAGAAGAGCCTACGGTTTCGACCCCTCCTCGCGAGTCGCAGTCCGTTAACGACATTGACTCAGTTACCCTTGTCAAGACACCAACTGCAAGTACCTCCTCAACGCTTCTCGTCGCTACACCTTCAACCCCCACGTTTCGCAAAGGACCCTGGCCTATTCCAGCACGTCCGCTCAGTGGTCGAAGGGATTGGCGTAGCGGCTATAAACCGATAGACAAAACGATCCAGGCAATTCGACTAGACTATCCTGAACCAGCTCATAATCTCGTATGGGTACCTTTCGAAGAGTTCACCAACCTTCGCTTTGTTGCCCGTGGTGGATTTGCTGCTGTTTACCAAGCAACATGGTTGAAGACAGCACAGCGAATAGCCTTGAAGGCATTGGACGACTCACAAGACATAAGCGAGGCTTTCCTTGAATCGGTGAAGACACACTGGGAGTTGTTCTCCCAACCTTATTTTGCCCGTCTTTATGGTTTCACCCAATTACCAGACACAGGCGAGTTCATGCTAGTTATACAGTATGCTCCATACGGTAACTTGCATGTATTCTGTCAGAGAAACCAAATGTCAGGATGGAAGGATAGAGTACGAATATTGAAATGTATTGCTCACGGAATCGCGGAATTACATAAAAAAGGTCTTGTGCACGGTGACTTACACCCAGGGAATGTGCTAAACGTAGACGGGAATAGATTTGTGATAGGTGACGTAGGAACCAGCGGTCCAGCCAATGCTATGACTCGTCGTAAAGCAATGTACGGTGTACTTCCTTATATAGCGCCCGAAGTACTCAAAGGGCAAGAGTACACCAAGCGAGCTGATATCTATAGTTTTGCAATGATAATGTGGGAATTAGCAGCCGGGTCTCGACCATATGCAGGGCGACCACATGACCTGTTCCTTGCTAAAGAAATTTGCGATGGGCTTCGGCCTCCTACGCCTGCCGATACACCAAAGTTCTATGAAGATTTAATGATAGCATGCTGGGATCCGAATCCGCGATCGCGTCCGGATTCGCAAGAAATATTACAAACCGTGTTCAAGTGGATGTTGAATGATAGGGTAGCGGCGAGTTCAAGAAGGGAGAAAGTTTCGAGGTCTGTGCTTTCGTGTTCGATAGAAGATATACATCCGGATGCGTATTACTTTAGTCGGCTGTTGCAGTGGCCACACCTTCGAGAAGGCAGAGATGCTGTCGCATCTCTTATGATTCCTAGAACTCCGGCCAAGAGCTATTATATTGCGGGTGAGTATACTGAATGATCTTACAACAAACGTGTACAATATGCTGTCGTGTGCGTCAACTGATATTTGATCTAATGTTATTATAGACGAAAGACAAAGTAACTATCTTAATCTTCCCCAACACATTTATCAATTTGGATTTCATGGCCGGGCTTTGTTAGGACGTGAGTTCTTTAAGTATAACTTATAGACCTGCTTCGTCACGCGCAACATACTGGTACTAACGTTTTCTATCGTTGTATTGCAATAACAGCGGAACCAAAAAAATCCGAGAACATGGACGAACCTAACTCAAAAAGAAGATGTAAGACAGGTTCTGAATACGGATCTGGTGATTTGGGAACGTAAGCTATATTTTAACGCTCTTTTTTTTGGTTTAATTATCATAGACCCCACACTAAGTATCCATATGACAGATGATGGTGAGCAATCTACCACGTCTTTTCATTTGTAGTGTACTTATCAAACAGTCCATTAACATTTACATTATTCCATTCAACAGAAATCTCAACAGTACAAGCATATTGGGCCAATGAGAAACTCCCATAGAGAATGGTTCTCACATGAACACTATTAACTTCATTAATCGAGGCTGGCATCTGGCCTAAATCTATTATGAACGAAATATTAGAACCTAGCATAATCGCATTTCATAACACTTCACACTCACCAATCTGCTGGACGGACGTATATTCACTCTATTTCTATTGCTATATCACATTCCTTTTATCGTTTCTACATTGTCTGTTTTCAATGTTTGAATGAACATCCATCCTAGCGACTGCGGTGATTATTTTAGATGTAAATAGAATTCAGAGTTCAGGTATCTGATTGGGCGTTGGTGATTTACTTACAAAATATTGGTATTTTTATGTATATATATATATTTATTTAGTTTTTATATTTTAATGACTACCTAATCAATGGGTTACAAGAAGGGAGGGAGGAAGTTACAGTGGAACGATTTGAAAGACGCAACAATAAAATGCATTCATGGATTATTTTGTAAGACTGCATATGTTTATTAGAAGAAAAAGAAAAACAAACAAATAAATATAATCACACAGCAGCGGAATTTTGAAACGCGTATCTTAATAAAATCACGATAGTCGTTAATAGTGTCTTGATTTTTCTTCAATTCCCATTATTGTGGCGACAGTCTCACTAGTTCCTCCAATTTCAATCCATCATGAATCTGAGGAACTATATGCAAAGTATCCAGCATCTGAGTATTCCTCTCTTGCAACTGGACCATTCCAGCGATTATCTTTTCCATAGACTGTAAGTGAAAAGCAGTATCTTAGTAACTAGATCAGTTTGGGAAAGTATTAAGGTGCAAGAAATACCTGATGCGTAGACTTCATGGTTCCATCGAGATTGGCAAAGAATTTAGCAGTTCGCATGATTTCCTGTTAGAATATCTTGAGTAAATGTTGAAGAATTATGATATTTTGAAAGAAAATAGAGAATGATCACCTCGCTCGCATTAGCACTTCGGATAGCAGTCTACCGGTAACATATATACATCAATACCATTTAACCACGCATTTGTCTTCTTTGCACAGTAAAAAGGAACCAAAGCATACCTTAATGACACCACGCACACTTGCGAATGCATTCTGCGACTTTTCTCTGTTTTCCGACTTCATGTATTCTTTCTCTTGAAGTCTTAGATTATTAGTGGCACCAATGTCGATATAAGACGCACGTGCAGATGCTACGATGATGACGAAAGCAGAATAATGTTATTGTATACCAAAAAGGAAAAGTAAAACGAAGTATGATCGATTGCATTGAAAATCATGACAGAAGCGACAGCAGATGTTGGATGCCGATATCAAGTTGGGAGTAAGATATTTTGAGAGCAATATATGGACATTGTTAGTTAAACAAACACTTGGTGTGGCAAGTTTATTCTTTTATAGTCTGACTTTGACACAGTTAAGGCTTTCATAAATGTTATTAACATATGCTATAAATTAAGCTGTGTCTTGTCTCACACCATTTGAAACCCCCGTATTTTTTGGGGAATGGTCTCTGTTCGAATTAATGTGTTAATGCAAGCATTTAAGGATAAATTTGTCAACTTTATCAAGAAATCGCCAGGCTTCTCGCGAACTCGATAATCGACCGTGTCGGACGACCTACGGCCGATAAGACTGATTAATTATAACCTAATTTTAACAAATTAACACAGCTTTATACATACCACTCATTCCCTTGACCAAATAGCCAGTATCTTCCGATGATTCCATTGTGGCGGCAATATCAATGTGCGCATACCGGATTATCTCACCGGAATCATTATCTTTGTTTTCTGTGTCTTCCTCATCCGTGTTTTCACTCCCTTCTACATGTAATCCATTGACAAACTCTTTAAGAAAGACAGCAGCGGTACAAGCACCAGCTGATCTTCCCGCATTGTTAATGAGATCAGCAACAGTAGATTTCGTCACAGACTTCCTGTAATCCGAATGAAAAGGCATACGCCAGAATGGATCGTTGGCGATATTCCCAGCAGCAGATAGCTCATTCCATAAAGTATCAGAGTTGGTGAAGACAGCCGAATAGGGTTCTCCCAATGCGACAACGATTGCTCCAGTCAATGTAGCCAAATCAACTAGTGTATGAGGCTTGTACGTCGAGCTTACGTAATAAAGTGCATCTGCCAGAATAAGTCTTCCCTCGGCGTCGGTATTGTCAATCTAAAACGGTACATGATTAGTTTGATAAAGATCTGAATCAGAAACTAAGGTCAGAGAAAAGGCTCACTTCAATAGTCTTTCCGTTCATCGCCTTCACTATGTCCCCGGGTTTATTCGCTTTCCCTGAGGGCATATTCTCACATAGAGGGATTGCGCAAACTACGTTAATCGGCAATCGAAGTTTTGCAATACCGTACATAGTAGCAGCGACTACTGCTCCTCCCGCCATATCAGCCTTCATGTCAGCCATCTTCGACGAAGGTTTCAGTGAGATGCCGCCACTGAGAAATGCAATACAGAAATGTCAGAATACATATCTCTCACCTGAACATTGCTATAGATCATATATATAACTTACCTGTCGAAGGTAACACCTAAACCATGTAGCAGTATCAGTTACAAAAATCCATCTCTCGCGAATATAAAAGACCACGAAACTAACCTTTCCCAACCAATGCCAAAGGCTTATCGTTATGTTCTCCACCTCTATACCAGATCTCCATAAACTGACATGGTTCGTCAGATCCCTTAGCAACTGATAAGAAAGCATTCATCCCCATCTTTTCTGCCCACGCTTTATCTCTTACGATCACTTCAACGCCTTCTAACTCGGCTATCTTCTCTTTCACCTTCTCAGCAAAGATTGTAGGTGTCATGAGATTTGCAGGAGTTTCAGCAAGAGTACGAGCAAAATTTTGTGCTTCACCGTAGACAAGTCCTGTTTCCCATGATAAATCGTTGGCTATAGAAGAATCAGAAGTAGACAGCAGGTGGGAGAATTTCTGAAATTTGACTTCGGGTTTACGGGATGATGGTGATTTGAAAGAGTCGAAACTGTAGAGAGCGAGCGTGGCACCTTCCGCTGCGCCTGTCACATAGAAGAATTGTCCGAAATGTCAAATGATGGCACGGTAAAGTATATTGATTTAAACAATGCATCAAGCTCGAATATATATAGATACAAGAAAGCCAAAGCTAACCGTGTTCATGACTCATAACATCGATTCCAACCGCCTTGGCACCTTGATCACGTAGTCGCTTAACACCGATTGCTACCTAAACAGTGAACGTACTAGTTTTATCGACTTGTTCTTATTTTTCTGTAAGTTGATAATGACCCGCGACTTCAACAAGACACTAACCGCCTTCCTAGATTTTTCCAAAGCCTTACTGAGTTCTTGTGTATCGTCTTTTTCCTTCAATGACACAAGCGCAACCTGATCGGCAAGACCTTCTAATCCATACAGTGTTCTGACTTCGCCAAACTTCCCTTTTGTTCCCGATAGTTTTAGCTGGTTATGTATCACTTCCTTAGTCGCGCTGGGGATGTCGTTCGCTGTTGTCTCGGTTAACGATCCATCCTTGTACACACCCAAGACAAGACCATCAAAGTTGGAAAAACGCGTAGTCGTTATGCTGAGGGTGCGAGCATGAAAGATATGTTTGCGAGGTAATTTTATGTGTCGCAAGAGTGCGGGGCATTGGGTTCGAAACATCATATGTAAAGAAGATCCGACGCGGTAATTCTGAGATCTGAATGTTATATACGATAAAGGAGATTTGTCTTTTTATTTTCCCAGATCCAGTATTTCGGTAAAAAATCGGTTTTTCGTATCGAATTATCACGTGCGCAGACGCGTGTAGAAATAGGGGATTTCGACAGTCATTGATTTATAATCCCCAATGTCAAAACCATATGATTTAGTCGCTGCTCAGAAGTATGTGCTGTGGCTATCTTTCTTTTCAGCTGACACTGGATATAGTCCTTATTAAGAATGCCTTTCACCTGAAAACATGTTAACAGACTAGTCGAGACTTTCCGCGTCAATAAACCGCAAATTGTACAATGGCGTGAAGAAGTCTTGAGTCGCGCTGAGCATCAGAATGTTGCGCGTCTAACCTATGACCTCAAAGTGGCAAAAGTAAGAAATCGATTTAGGCCACTAAAGACAACCCAGAATTAACTTATTTTGTTGTTTTTGCAGGAAAATTTCTCCCAACAGCGGCATAATCGAATCGAGTTTGAAACACGGGATAATTTTTACAAGAATATTGTAAGTCTAGTGAAGACAGAACTACTTTCAAAACGGGGCAAGACAGATTCACTAGCACAAGAAACCACACATGACCAAAAAGCGGAGACCGAGTTGGGTAAGCCATCCATTGTTTACAGGAATTGATTTCTGATTTGAGACTTTGACCAACAATGTGTTCGCTCAACGACAGAGCAAGTCAACGCAGAAAAAAAGCAATATTTGAAGACAATGAAGGAAACTATTACACAGTTGGAAGGAGAAATATTATATATGGCTGCACCTTTTTCGGATGGTAAATGAACGGTTAGTTAAAAGTTGTCCTTATTGCGTGCTGAATGACATTCATTCCGTTTTATTCGTTTTTATAGAATATGACGCTTTGTCGACGAATATTGCAGAGATTACACAACTAATCAACGATATTACTCAGATGGTTAGTTGTGCTTGTATTTTTCTGTATCTGGTTTCAAATTCACTCATTGACCACAACAATTAAGGAGAGGGAGCTGGACAAGCTGGATGAAGATGGGCGAACCAAAAAGGTGAGTTGTTTGTATCATTTTTTTAATAGCGGACAGATTGTCATTGTCTTGATATCGATTACTTTTAGAAATACACACCTGCAGAAGCCACTCGAATAATCGATGAGCAAATCGAAAAAATACAAGAAATATACGAAGAGATATTACGAGGACAGTCTGATATTTCAGAATTGCACATTGAATATGACAAGTTACAGCAAGAAGAGACAAGCTTGACCTCGGAGTTGGAGGCAGCGGAAAAGCTTGTGGCTGAGGCTAAGAGGATTATGAAAAACAATGATATCACAATCGAGAGGCAATGTCAAAGGTAAGGTGAGAGATGGAGAATTATTGACACATTTTGACTTTTGTTCATATTGATATTGTTTCCTGTACAGGATGAAAGAGTACACAGAATTCTACTGCAGCGCAATAGGATTTCCGGTTCCGGAAATGCACAGTTGAAATAAATGGTGATATCTGCTTGCGTACTATAAACATTTTTGTATTCTCACTTCCGGAACGGCTACAAGAAAGACTTTCGCTAGGTAGTTCTGCGTTTTATGACGTAATCGGAGGTTTTCAGATTTCTGGTGTTGCGCTAAAATTTTCAATGTCCTTGCACGCCAAACAACGGTCTACTATCAAAAGCGGTCTCGTGTTAGCGTGTAGATATGTCTCGTGTTAGCGTGTAGATATGTCTCGTGTCATTAGCAGCAAAAGAATAAGGCTTTTTTTTTTTCACTCTTATAAACAACGAATGGATCTCTAAATATTGATATTATTGATGAACAACTAAACACTGATGATAGACCCACATTATACAACTATGAATGAGGATGTAGGGTCCATCTCTGGCATATTATTTATGGATCATTAAATGTGCTTTAATAGTGCATGATCAGTGGATTGTCTGCTGACTTTAACGAGTTTCTCAATTAGATCGCATATACTGTACATACTGAAATTTTGGTTACGGCTTGCTTACGCCCAATCTTTTCGATTCAGATGTTTGAATTTGTCGACGCGTTTATTTGAATTAGATGTGTCGTGTTCCGGTTTATTTATTTGAGCAAGTGCGTTATTGTTATGTTCGGCCACATAGAAAAGCGTTTATATCCGGGAGCTGTCCTCAATCAACAGTATCTTGTTTGTTGGTTAAGTCGAAATAACGATGCTTTATCGTTGAAATGTGTTTCAATTTGTCTTATCGCTAAACTACGTGTATAACATTAAGATTTTCACGTTTTTTAATCCACGACAAAATTTAATCTAACGCGTAAAATCGACTTTATTTCATAATAAAAAACTTTGGATCTAATTACAATTGTCTCAATATGTGTGTAATTTTATCTAAGTTACGAGCTGTAACGTGGAGTTTATGTTAATATGTTTATCTTCTCGTACAGCGGTGTTGGTTATAATTTCCTGTTGCATTTACTCATTTAATAGAGAATGCTAAAGCTAGTTGATAAGAAAAAACTATAATACAGAGAGAAAAGAAGAAGCAACAGTGATCGAAATCCAAGGCTAGAAATATATGTTGTTTAGCCTATGACTTTGGAGTTGTAAGCTTTTCCGTGTTTCGACAATTTGAATGTCCTGGATTGCAAATTCTGTTAACTGTGTTGTTGGCAGATACAAGAGATTTACCAAAGCCGCGAAATAACAATGATTTGGATTCAGTTGCTGTAACTGGTTACATGTTGATATTAAATAAAGTCAATTTACAACATTAACATCGCCCATCGTCTTATAATCAAATTCTTGAATACACATTTAATTCATAGCTGACATACTATTATAGTTTATACGATACAATATGTTATCCATGGTGCACAATATTGAGGTGTTGCGATTGTTTTAAACTGAAGTTTACCCGGGTAGAGCATTTGAGTATGTAAAAAAATTATTATATTGAATTTGATGCTACTTGTTCTATTCGTTCGTATTTATGAATACCCCTAGATCAGCCATATGTGCAACGACTTATTGCGACGAGCGAAACTTTCGGTAGAGTTCCTGGTTTATGTATAAGGAGAAAGAGTTTTCCTTGTCGTGGATTGTAAAGTTCGTGTTAATTGACAGAGTGAGTTGCTCCTTGAACATTGTTGGGGCTAACCATAAATAGAGAATTTAACCCCAGTTTGTTAAACATTTTCAAAAACATGGGAAATTATAGCCTCACGCGTTTTAAATAGCATAGTCTTGAAAATTACGATAAGACCGCGTGTTTTAATTTTAGTTAGCCCGCCGTATGTTCGGAGCAATTCCGTCTGTATCGCAAAGACTAAATATAACGTCCGGAGAGAAGTTTGTTTAATTACGTGAGACATTATAATGTAATGAGTACCAGCTGACATCTGAAAAAAGAACATGCTTATGTAAGAAATTTCTGTTTACAGTCTTCAAGAATTGTTTTATACTGAATAATAATTATGTGCACAATAGTCCAATTGAAATTACATTTACTTCAAAAGTGAAATTTTTATCAATCGCAATGTCATGTTTGTAATGAGTTAATATTGTAAGCAAGTTAAAATTTATGTATAACTCCCTTATTACATCGCGCTTGCATCAAAATGCACGTGTGGCGGTCTAAGTCTTACGTCACGCGATCGGCAAAAGTAGATTATTATTAATATTAACCTATTTTTTTTTACCTCTTGTCACTGCAGAACAAGAATGCCTACCTTCGATGTCTTTATATTTCGCTGCTACTACGGGCTAGGGGATGTGCCAAATTTATGTAAATGACATCATCAATGTAATCGAGTTTGACCAATGGTAATACAATGTTCAGTTTTTGTAGTTTTTGTCTGCGAACATGTCTGTTATAACCAAGCATTGAAGCATTGCCAGTCTTTTTATTGTGTCAATCGTCAATATCATAAGAGCTATGGACTCACCACTCCCACTGAAGAAACCACCGACAGTAATGTCCGCTGACCGTGATCAAATGGATAAACTATTGAGAGAGACCAAACAATTAAAGCAGAAAGTAGACGCGTTAGAAAAGGAAAATATGTTTCTTAAAAAGTCTATATACGAGCTATCCGTTAGATATACTGCTGCTGCTGCACATCAAAGAGGTGTAGGACCTTTTGTGATAGAGAGCGAAGAAGCTACATTCGAACAAGAAGGAAGTGGAAAGGCGGATATTGTTGAAACGGGAGGTGAGCATTTCGTGTGACTATTTATTAATAATGCAATACATTTTCGATAATGCTTACGTCTGAGATGTTGTTTATGATACTTAGAATATTAAATGGATTCAATTTGTAGCTAACGCTGTTCGTGACAAGTACCGAGAAAGTAAGACATTCAATCCGAAAGCTGAATTCAAGGTGTTTTTATTCTTCGTTTATCTACTACTACACAATACAGCATGACGGGAAACACTATAATGTGATTGTGATTCATTATGTAATGCCTTCTTATCACAGGGTCATGGCGGAGCTGTATACGCTGTTCATTTTTCTCCATGTGGTAAAATGCTCGCTTCTGGATCATTTGATAAAACCGTGCGAATATGGGATGCTGTCGAGCTACAAAAGGAGGTAAGAGCAATCTTATGTAAATTAAGGGTCAAAGGCGACGCGTGTCTATTAATAATGATTTCGATCTTAGATTACGTGTTTGAAAGGACACACTCTGAATGTGTCCGATGTGCATTGGTCATCAGATTCCACGTCTCTGCTTTCGGGTGCATATGACCAAACATGTAAAATATGGGATAGTGAGACTGGTCGATCTACTTTCACTTTCGAGACTGAAGGATTTGTACAGTGTGTTATGTTTGATCCACAAGGTAAGCCGGTCTGTTTTATTTATTGTCGATTGTATTCTCACTAACGCTAACTAAATATGTGTTTGCGCATTTCTCCTATTTGCTAATGCACGAGAAGACAACCACATTTTTATAAGTGGAACCTCGCGTAAGGTGCTTGCAATTGTAGACACAAGGAAACCGGATAGTGCGCTAATAATGCGGAATGATGGAATGGTGAATTCGCTCTATGTTTGTCGTGATGGACAGAGTGCTATTACTGGCGATTCTCTGGGATATATTAAAACGTGGGACATGAGAACTGGTCTGTATAACTGGATGTAATGATATGATGTGAACCTAATGTGATGTAATGTAATATGGTATGATCCATGCGATGTATTGACAGTTATAGGTACCTGATGTAGGCACTGTTGTACAGTCTACCCTGAATGAACATACCAAAAAGCCTATCTCTCATCTAGCAGTCTCGAACAAAAGCAAAGGTAAAGAAGCAAACAAATATTACCGGTGCTAATACAATAGCAGTAATAACAGGACCGCGTACATTTATATTTTAGTATGATGTCTGCGTAATTGTCTCTTTATTATATCTGGTTCGTATGCTATCGGTTAATTTACATTTACCTACACATCTATTCAGATGACGATGAAGACTCAAGGTATATGGCTATAAATAGTTATGACAATGGTAAGTTGCTTATAACACAAAGAACAGCATTCAAAACGAGAAATATAAAAAAAACCCCATTAATGTATCTTTGAAGTAATAAGGGTCTATGACCGAGGGATCGAACCGCCGAAGACAACCCCACGTATGATTCATGCATTGAAAGGATATAAAAACAAAGGATGGCCTATCAAGAGTTCGATATTCCAAGGGAAAGAATGTAAGTCGTTGTTAACAGTAAAGGTCGCACTACACATTATATGCAAGCAGCCTATTGATATGATATTGTATTAGATCAAAGCTCCACAACGCGTTGGACAACGTTACATAGAAAGGATGATGAATATGTTCAGAGTGGCTCAGAAGATGTCGGGGCGTATGTTGACCAAGAGTGCCTGTCATTGTTGATAGTTAACATGGAAGATTGATCATTAACAATATGAATATTGTATAGATTTGAAAAAGATAGAACGCTCGAAGCAAGTCTTTTGCTTGCAACAGGGAGCGCTGATCCGTGTGCTTATCTATACAATATCAGTGGACCAGAGGTGCGTCCTACATAATGATTATATTTGCTCATCAAGTGTATTTTTACTCATCATCTGTTGAAACTATTCTTCTAGGGGACAGGCGAATTACTACAACGACTGGAAGGACACACGGACTTTGTGTATGCAGTCGACTTCCATCCCACAGAGCCAATGCTAGCAACTTGTTCTGCCGATTGTACTATCAGAGTATGGGCTCCTAATGGCAGAACCAAGAAGAAGTGAACGAGAATGCATTGCAATTGTATGGATTATATCCAACGAGTATTTCAATAAGATTGGGCATAGACAGTTATGAATAAACTGAGAACGAGTTCGAGACTGTTGATAATCCCAAAGACGATTGCAATAAGACAAATGGGATAAACTCCCCATTTAGAAATGAAATGCTAGTTAATAAAACACTGGTGTATGCATCAAGTTTATTTAATAAACCACTCGATTTGAATAATTTTGACTTTAACAACTATTAAGTTAATTAAGTATTAACAAACACAACTCGATTTGTCAAAATTCGAATACCTCTATTGTTAGTCCGCATTCTGTGCATGTCTGAGTCTGAGTTCCCGTCTTGGGATCAGTTACCGTTGTCCCATAAGAATGTTTATGGGTCTGATTCCGTTTTTTCTCAATAACTTCGGTTCGGGTACGTTTCCTCATGTCTTATAGGACAGGTTGGGGTGAATATAATAAGCATTTCGGTTAATTCGAATGCGGGTTTATCGGTAACAAAACTACTCTAGTTATTATACTAATATATAATTCGCTGTATAATGCCCGCGTCTTACCGGCCATCTTAGCCTTGAATTTTGCCTCTTTTCTTTTTTTGCTGGTATGTTGCCGCCTCTCATATTCCTTGTCTAGCCCTTCTGCTCCACCCCATTTATTAAATGCAAATGCTTCGACCTTGGGCGATCAATATACGTCAGCAGAACATTGGGAGTACGAAAAGCGTCTGAATCACGCTTACTTGTTCGCGAAGATAAAGCATCATGTCGTTCCACGTTGAATTGTGTGGATTGGGTTTAGCGAGATGAGGGAGAACTTCAGTGTCTCTTAACTCGGCTAGGAAAAACCGTATTTATGGGAGAGCTTGTGAGTACAACTATATTGCATGACTTTTATATAGCAAACTAATCGTCTACAACAAGATTGTTGCATTCGTGTCCTTCTTGCATCCCCTCTCTTCCTCCTCTATACATTGTACTCACGATCAGTCAGCAAATAATCTTCCTTGCATTCAGTCTTTGTCAACAGACTGAATTTTTCCGGCATAGCTTCTTTACATTTCTGACAGACACACACCCCAAACACTTGTTTCCAATTATAATCAATCTCCATGCTACCACATTCTTTACACGTTGGATTCTCGGCCGGATCGATACTCAACGGTGGATCGAATATTGGTTTTGGTCGGTTTTGTTCACTTTTACGTTTCTCCGCTGCGGTCGACGTGTCGTTATCCTCTACGAGGAATCCACCGCGCGAGTCAACCATTTGGGAGAGGTCATAATCATAATAATTAGTGAAAGCTTTAATTGGACGAATTGGACGTTGAGAAGAGACATCCTTCTTGCTGGCGGGAGTGGAGGAGGTGATGGTTGTGGTATTATTGGAAGATTGTGGCGCGTTAGTTGATTTTGCTAACAATTTTGCCTTGGCTTTTAGTCTATTCTCCTCAATTCGTTTAATCTGTTCGGGAGTTAAGGAAGAGTTCCGAGCCGAGTCGCTGGTGGTTGCTTGGTCGTTGGGTTCCGTCATAATGACCCAACGACGTGACTTAGCGTATGTTTAATCGTGTTCTATTTATTGTGTTACGTATAACGTGATCTAAGAGCTCCGTCTGATTTGACCACGACTTACATTTATAGATAGTGAAATACTTAATATTAATGGTCTTATAATCTCGGGACCAAACCAGAGCCTGCATTTAGGGAGAAAAAATATAGTGCCTGCACCTAGAGAAGTTGCACTGTATGACAGTGAATTTAATAAGTGTTGGTTGCATGTGTCCTTGGCAGGACCTCCCTCGACATTTATCGCTCATAAACATACTTGTTATATACTATCTCTACTCTTTATCATCGGATTAATAAACCTAACTACAGATAACATATAAAGTGTCGTTCACTTTGCATTAAGAAATCTTGTCGGGTTATTGCAGATTGAGCCAAACAACACATTTGCATTAAAGATAATGGGAAAAATATTTGAGAACCTATCAAATACACAAACAGCACTGCATCAATAAGAAAGGTAGAAGTAAGAAGCGAAATGACATCAGTCGACGTTGTGTTGATCCGGGATACTAGGTTGCGCAGAGTTTGTCTAATTCCGTGTGTGATTATCGCCAGAGCGCGCAAGTTGCACCCTTTATTTTGCGAATTCTCAGTTTTCGCTTAATGATGCAATTAAAAATTATTCATCCTGTTTTTGACAGTCTTTCAATTGATCGTGAATCACCTGAACCCGATCGATGCAATGAGTACAGTCAATTGAGCCATAAAAATACATATACATATGATGGGGAATAATAAGCCGCAGCCGCCGTCTTGAAGTACTAATAAGTGAACTTTTTACTACTGAGATCGCAATACGCTTCTTTGCCAGAAAACGTATCTTAATATGTTAGGGTTTGGTCGCACTTATTTAGAAAACATTGGCAATGAATGACATAATATCGTGTGTTCATGGTAATATGAAAAGAGTATCGCGATGGAAAACCAAAATGACCATCGATAAAGACGTTGCTACAGCCGTGAAATTCATGGATTGCCAAGTCCTGGTAGTAATAGAAATGTCAATTGCATTACTCAATCGCCAGCCGAAGCGAGTTACAAATCGGTCTGTCGTGATTTTATTGCAAGTCTCGAAAATGATAGCACGTTGAAATTGTTAAAATATGATGCGTTTCGCAAGTTATGGCACCAATTAACGCCTTATATTCAAATTATGAATCTGAGAACGGATTTATGCGATACTTGTCAAATGGCTTACAGTACAATGACCGCAAGGAAAAAGAAGCGAAAAATTTACTGAAAAAAATACAAGGAACACCTGGTTAAGGCTAAGTTGGAGCGAAATTATTACAACAAAAATACGAAATTAGCAGAACAACATAGAAAATTAGTGGTGAGCATTTTATGATGAGAGGTAAAACTGAATATTGTAATGTTGACGCTACTACTACTCATTACAGGTACGATTAGGCACTAAATGTTCACGAATCCCATTCCGATCAACAGGTAAGTAAGATTTATTATCTCAGTCCGCATAAAAGTACATTCATTTGGTATTCAAGATGAAGCAGTTCGCGAACAAATTAACTGGGTTCTCGATAAAGACGAAGTAATAAGGAAAGGACCAAATGGCACATTGAGCATGGTATTTGATGGAATTAAGAGATTGAATAAAGGTGAAAAGCATTTAAAGATTACTCGTAATAACGCGGGTGGACAGAATAATAATAATGCGACCATTTTATTTTATTTATATTTGGCAATTTGTGGTTACTATGAAAGCATCGGCAAGCCGTCACATGGTAAAATCTTCCTCCGCAATCAAGCATCAATGTTAATTTTAGAATGCGTCGCGCATTTCAGTATCGGATACACCGTGTCGATTTCTGAGTGTCAACACAAACGCCATTATCTAACTTAGAATATGATTGGTTCTTCATAGAAATTACGAACAATAATTCCCACTCTACGGAATAATAATCAAATAAACGATCCCTTTGAAATCGAAACTTTCATCGTTGAAATATTAATTATTTGACCAGACACACTAATAAACGACTCATTTAAGCTGCATAAGTTGTCCGTTGATCTGCTGTTATAAAAAGTAGAGGTTATCCCACGAAATATTAACGCTGAATAAAGTTGAATAAAACATCGGCACTTCTTGTAATGAATGTGAAGGGTCCTAAAATGTACATACTAATACTCGGTGTGACATCGGAGAATAAATCCGAACTTCTTCATGCATGGCTGCTGCAACTTTCATTTGTTTGTTCTTATGACTTCACGGACTTCACGGACTTCACGTCGCCAAAGCAAAGGTTATTAACTTCTGAAGCTTTCGATAAATCACTAAATAGTGTTCTAAAAAATCTTGCTCATATTGAACATCACAGAAACTAATTCACCAGATGATACTACTGCGGGCGCAAGTGATGGTGTGGATATCCCACGTCCGTGGTCACTTCCCCCAGTGATTATATATTATCCAGAGTTTGACCATCAGAGTTTATGGTGGATTTATCTTCCAATATCCAGTTTGGGTAAAGATTATGACTTTCCGGTAAGAACTTCAAATATTTTTCAGGCGGTATAAATACTTGTTTTAATCAACATAATTATTTGTTAGAATTATCCAAAACACCAACTTATCGCTCTTTATTTTGCTGAGTTCTTCATGCGTATGCCCGTTATTCTTTATTATTTATTGAAAAATCCGAGAGAATCTTTTCTTTACACTGCTTTTCAAAATCCGAAATCTGTGGCCTTTAGGATTGTGGCTTTCCTAATATCTCCACCTAGTGAGTAAAATCCCTTCACTACAGTATAGTGGGATGTCTGTTCATATACTAATATGTTCTTTTAGCATTCGTTTTTATGTATCCCGATTATTCCTATTATACTGCAATTACATTTATCCCAACATGGGCGATACCATCATATCTGGTTATGCTTGCGTTGTTAAGAAACAATGCTATTGATTATTTTATGTTTCACTTTTTGTGGGAGAATGGTGTGTGGGAGATGGGTTTTATTAAAAACACTGTAGCGCATAAAGCTTTCATCCTTTTCTTTTTTGGGGGTTATTTTCACGTTAAATATACTTTTCTATTAGCATATCGTTTAGTTGAAAAACAAGGACATAGTAATATAAATAGTAGATTAATGACAAAATTACTCGATTTTTTTTTATATTTACATATTATTTTGTTTTTTGCAAAGATGATCTTTTTATTGTATTTGTTTTTAATATATATTGCGTCATTCTTTTATTGGGATTGGACTAACTAATAAACTTATCAACAGTATATAACTTTTCCTCTTACTCCGACCACCCAAGCCGTCGTGCTATTTTTTCCGAGTATAAACTCTTAAGAAACTGACGAAAAAATTATTGAAGTCTGGAGGAGACATTTCGCAATTAAGGTATAATGAAATATATTTTTTCGATTGTGACTGCGTAATTGTAAGGAGGCGACTCAGAGCTTGCAAGGCGGAGAACACGGACTTATCGGTGAGTTTTAATTTATTTCTGGCTCTGCATGTTCTACGCATAACTGACGACCATATTCTATCCAGAATATCAATGTTAAATCCAATTAGAGGATATTGTGTTAGTATTAGTATAGATAATAGATAGTTTAAACACTGGCGTGGTGGCCATTAGTCACTGAATCTCGTGATTTATTTTTTTTCACATCAATAAATCAGTATTTCCGATTGTGACATTTTGTCTTTTTTTTATCTATGCTAACGAACTTTTGAATTATCATCTTATATAAAAAATTATTATCGAACATGCAATCCATTGATTCGTTGAGAGGATTAAATGCCAAACTCTTAGCTGAGATTACAGACCTTAGGAAGGAGAATGCACTAAAGTTTGCTGAAGTTGAGGCAGAGAAAATAGAGTTGAGACGGGAACTTAAGGCTAGAAGTGATGAGCTGGAGAAAACTGTAGCGGATTATTCAGTCAAGATTGGCGGCTTGGTGCCATAATCGTGGGGCTATAGAAGACCAATGCCGTTATTAGTAATAACAGCAGAATTAAACGTTTGATATCAGCGAGGTGCTGTACATATACACTCATTGGCCAAAAGTATTTGCCGAAATTTGCTGAGCAATAGTAAAATATATAAAAAATCTATTTTTTC